TTTTTGCAGCAGCCAGGATGAAGTCGGTGGATGAGGATGATTCACTGTGGCAACATTCAAGGAGAGAACAACCGAAAAATGATGACTTATCCTAGTAAAATTTACTTACATATACTTCTATAAGTGTTTCATCTTAATATGTTCCTTTGCAATGTCTGTATAGCTTGTGCTTTTGTCTTGACATTTCTTTTTTTTTTTTTTTTTTTTTCATTTTAAATATTTACTTCACGTCAGTTCCTGGTTTGGCCACTTGGGGGCGCCGACGTTCAACCTGCGCAGCCCACGTTGCGTAAGCGTCGATTGCCGAGTCATGGATCGCTGTTTTCACGTCACAAGGACACCGGTTTTGGGGAGCGGAGGCGGGCACAATTGCTGGGAGGGAAACAAATGAACGATATGCAGAAACTTACATTTTAGCTTGTTCTGCTTATAAGGCGGCGGTTCGAGTCAAAGAAGTGGTGACGAAAAGTCGGGTCGCCTAGCTTGAGTGGAGCGATTCCATTTGAACGAGAGCCTTCTTCACCTGCAAAGGTAACCACACAGCACAGCCGCTTTATGTCTTTAAGAAACATGCTAACAGTGATAWATGTTTGTGTTTTAGTGTTAAGAGAATTTACGTTTCGTGCTCGGTTCCAGCAGCAAAATATCGTTCAGTTATCTGTAACAGTCAGGGTTTTTACTGTTTTAAAAKCTTTGTTAAAGGATATCACTTAGTCTTTTAAACATGTACAAGGCTGTTCAAAAAWTTAAAACAACGTGTCTTCTAAAATTTTGAAGTGCTGTTTATCTGCTTTAGATAACCTTCTTTAAGGTGTTTTTCTTATGTATTTCACTTTGTCCATTGTAAGAGCAAAYTGCTAAAGTGCTGTGTCATGGTCACCTGTAAGGACTGAGCATGACACAGCAAGAATTGAGCATGACACAGCATGTTGTGAAACTTTGACAAAGCTTCTGAAAGCCCGAAGAGATGTTGATCAAGACCTCTTTAAAATATTACTAGAAAGTCTGAGTCTTTGGGAGGATGTAAACAAGTCGTTTGTGTTGTGACTGAATGTGAAGCTGCTTCTGATCAAGCTGTTCCTCAGCTGCAGCCATGCTCATCCAGAGCTACTGTGAGGTGAACACCTCCTTCTCCCATACCTGGCTGGATGGGGGCCTCTCCCCCTGCTTCTACTTCACCCTGGTCCCCACCATCCTGCTCAGCATCTCCTTCCTCCTCGGCACCCTCCACTGCGTCTTCTACCAGAAGTTCGGCACGGTGATGGAGCCCAAGTTCATCCCACGCTCCCGCCTCTACGGTTTCCAGCTGGCCCTCACCGTCCTCCTCCTGCTCCAGTTTCTGGCTGGGATGGTCTGGCAGGCTGTCGGCGCAGGAGAGCTCCCGGGCTACGTGGTGCTGTACGGCTGCTTCTCCACTCTGGGGTGGGCCTGGGCCTTGGCCCTGCTCAGGGTGGAGAGGCGGAGGGTCCTCTTGATGGACCGGACCAGGGGACACAGTGCTGTCCTGTTGGTGTTCTGGGCCGTGGCTTTCTCAGCGGAGAACTTGGCCTTCATCTCCTGGTCCAGTCCTCACTGGTGGTGGGGGCTGGAGAACAACCAGCAGCAGGTGAGGAAAAACTACATTTTTAATCATTGTTTTGAGGGGGAAAATAAAAAAATTGTAAATCTGGTGAGTCATAACGCTGGATTTATATCAATTTTTGTCAACCTGGTTTAAACCCCTCAGTAACATGACAACATCAGCAATAATCAGCTTCTATTGTTTATGGTTGGTTTGARGTTTTCTTCCTCAAAAGTTAATCCAAGACTGTCATAAAGCAGCTTTTATTGTCTCTAATAGACCAAAGGTTAGTTTGTCAACACTGTGTGTTGTGAGCCACTCCCCATTAAGCTATGCCTTGAAAGKAACCAGACAAGAGCACAAAATATTATTTTTTGCTGAGTCATTTGCTGATCAGTCTATACACCGCTTGCAGATGTTTTAGGAGAATTCTTAGTGCTCTGTTGCTGAGTCAGAGGAAGGAAATACATTTTGACTAAAGACTCCAAGCATGACATCATTTTATTATGTTTTTGTTTCTCTGTTTGACAAGATTTTTTGTTATTTCAAAGGTGACATTTTAATTGGTTATAAAGCAATCGGTGAGGTTGTTTACAGTTACTCCATAGGGTTGGGCATAATCGTATCGTGTGTGATTAATCATCAGAAAAACATTAATC